ACTAGCACGCTCAGAACCCGAAAGCAATTCTTTGGACCTGCCCTAGAGTATTAACAAATGATGAACATGCAGAACCAACTTTTACATTCATTTGTCTAGACACGCTGGGTACAGTGATTCAGAGGTACAAGATAGTGCTGCCAAACAATGGAGAGCTAGGGACAAGCTCAACTAAAGATGTCGAACCCAAGGATAATAAGCAGGAAGGAAGTCCTGAAGAGTTCAAAAACTTGCAAGATCAGATTGGTTATGTTGTTCGTCACGCATTGATCAACTAGTCAGGAGTGCTTGTCAATACTTTAACTAATATGATTAAATATGTGGTTGATGGCACGATAGTTGAGCATCAGGCTAAGGGACCAGTTTTTCTTCCAGAAGGTGTTTTTCCACAATACAAGACTCTCAGTTCTGATAAACATCGGCCTATCTCAGGTTTGGCCCCAGAACAGCCGATAGTGTCAGTCTTAGCTCCTGGGAAACATGGTGCGTCGACATCGGCGCCGGGGCAACCAGGGTTTAATCCTCACGTTCTGGTCAAACAACAACCGCAACATATAGGGCAAAACATCCCCCGAATTACTCCAGATCAAGTCGCCTCTATGTTTAGGCCAAGGCAGCCGGTTATTGAGCCGATTCCACAGATAACCGTGGCACTGCAATCACCTATTCCGTAACTACATCAACCTGTTGGCTCTCAATTTGTTCCTGATCAACATATCCATATGGTGCATCAGTCTCCTTAGCATCACATGGGGGGCAATGTTAACTTCTAGTATCAGCCTCACTCACCTTAGGTGCAGTATCGGCTAGGGGGATCACCTCTACCCCAATATTTGCCTCACTATAACTAGTTAGACCAAGTGCAACAGCAATTTCAGGGGGTACCTCAACAGAAGCCTTTGGCTGATATGATAGCCGACATGATGAGGGATCAGTTTGGGCTCTATTAACTCTATTTTGTTAATAGAGTTATGAGCCTATGGAGTCGTGTTAGAATCGGAAATGTTTAAGTAATGGTTAGCCGATATGAGTAGTGTGGGAGTCGGAGTCTGTAATAATTTCCTTAATTAGATATAGAGTTTTAGATCAATTCGATCGTGATAGAGTCAGACTTAGTATTGCTTATAGGTATAAATATGTGCACCTGGGGTCTTTGTAAACAATAACAGTTCAATATTCAACTTTTAGGGCATCGCCACCCTAGTTTTGCTCTTGACAAGTTCTTGTTTATGAGATAGGCTACATCGGTATCAATCTCCAACAAGAAAGTAAGTTTTGTCAAAATCCTTCGCTTGTATTGGGAATTAGTACTTCCTTGGTTATGTTCGATATACTAGTTCTTCTTTTGCTTGCATTGCTTATCAAATATATTGGCTCTTGCTCTGATTCGTTCTGCTTTCTAAGTTTATGGTTTCTATATCAGTCACCCTGAAAAATGTTCATAGACTCGTTTAAATCCGTTAAGCACAATGTTAACCCCGAACTATTCTGCTTAGCTCTAATCTTCTAGGTTTTCGTGTGTTTATTACATTTACTCAAGTTGATAGATTCTTATCATAGTTTCATAAGAGTTTTAGCCGATGAAGTATCTGCTTAACATATTATAATTGGTTGCATCGATTAAATTTGCAATATTTATTATAATCAGCTAGTTACTGTGATAATGTCTCGATTAGGTCCGATCTATCTAGATTGTGATAAATAATCATAGTTTTTGATGATTTATATTCTATCTTGTTTTGATTGATATCAGTTAACTTTCTTCTATATAGAGTGTTGATAAGTTTTATTTCAAACATATCAGCTCATATTCAAAGATATATTTATTTACTCAAGATTCTATCTTATTATTTTCACTCTTATCCCGTCTCGGTTAAGTCTGATCTATCAAGATTGATTATAATAATATTAGAAGATTTTATAAATATATTGTATCTAAGTTTCAGCCAATAGAGTTTTATTATTCTGACTTTTGAATTCCATTAGTTATAGCCGATCGATCCGAAATTCCATCAGTATCGGCATGGGCAAACCATACTATATCGACCCCATGAACGATTGGCCCATTGATCTAATCTTCTTTATTTTATCCTTGTTAGTTGTATTGGCATTGTGTGAACCTTATTTGATAGGACCTGCACTAGAGCAAGCAAAATTTTTAGGCCTTCGTGTGTACGACGATTTTCACACCAACAGCTTTCTCCTGTCTGTGGGGGTAGACGCCTGTGGGAGGCGGAACCAGATCTGCAAGGTGGTGGCAATGTAGACGAGCTCTATGCGGATAAAAGGCTAGGGGCAATCGGTAGCATGGTGCCGGCGGACCTCATCGTGTCCATCCCCCTTTGTTGGACGGAAGGACGTCTTGTCGGCCAGACGGGGTTGGTGAAGCCGATGGCCCTCGTTAGCTCCACGGCATCCGCTGTTCCCCTCCGCTTGATCACGGTGCGGTTGCCATTCTAGCAATAGCATTGATCGGTGTGACCAGATACGGCGATTACGGTTTCATCAGACCAACGTCGGTGATGCCATGATGCGCCAAATCACTTTCAGGTCTAGGAGAGGATTCTCCTGGCGAAAATCTAGTTTTTTGCATGTTCAGAATAGATGCCTTGACCTTCTTGACCTTCGTAGTCATTCAACCTACAAACTCTGTATAAATTGGCTGTAGCATTCACTGCTGGAGAAAACCCACAATAGTCCCGGTTTGCAATGCTCTTTAGTCTCAGGTTTCAAACCAGGACAACGAATCCAGGACTACATTTTTTTTCTTTTTTTTCATTGTTTTTTGCTGTTTGCATATTGATTTCGAACCAAACTCAACAATAAGATCATCCACATTCACAGAAACATCACAAAATCATCCACAAATTCCCAGATTGGATGGACATACTCAAATTGACATCATAAATTTACAGATGCAAAGACTTCACAAATCAATAAATTTACAGATAATCAACAAAGACATCACCCGCGCCAGGTACCTTCCCTCTCCCGCTCCGCCACCAGCGCCAGAGCCGACAACGCGGCCGCGCGGGCCACTGGTAGCACGGCTACGTGGGGCTGCCGCCGCCGCTGCGCCCGGCCGCCACCGCCTTCGCTCCTTCCTCATTGCTAGTGCTGCAAAGAAAAGGAGCGGATAAGAGAGAGGAAAGAGAGAGAGGAGAGAGGATGAAAGGTAGGAGAGGAAGTTAAAGATGAGGAGGAGGAAAAGGGTGGAGTTTGCGATCAAGGAGGAGAGGATAAGTGCAAGGGATTATATACGACGCGTTGATACGGAACTAAAAATAGTAGGGTGCCAGACGCTTTTTGAACCGGGACTAAAAATCAGTTACACCAACCAGGACTAAAGATCATAAAGTGGTGTTGGGTTTTTTAACCGGGGAAAAAAAGATTTTTAGTTCCGGTTCCTTTTTTTTTTCTGAACTAGGGCCTGAAAGCCCCCCTTTCCATTAATGGAACGGCACATAGAGTCTTAAACAAGCTACCAAAAGAGAAAAAAGAAAAGCAGAGAGGTTCAGTAGAAACTAAGCTGAAACCTGAAAACAGCAGGTCAGCAAGCAAACTGAAACTAGCAAACGTTACCAGGATCCCAACAGCAGGGACTAGACAAAAGCTAAGTGAGTGAGAACTCAGGGGGGTTACATCGGTAGACAAAGACAAGATTTCAGAGACAGAATCATTCCAATCTTCTTGCACAGGGCCTCCATTCATATCTTTAGTTGAAGATGTCATTTGCCACCTGCTTTACCAGCCTGGCCCCCAGCTCCAATCTTCTTCAGTTTGCTTCCAGTTTCTGCAAAATAGCCCAAGATTTAATTAGATTACCGACTAAATAGACCACCTCAATGGGATCTTTTGGGAGAATGTTATCAAAGCAGGCTTTATTTCTTGTTTTCCAAATAGCTCAGATGACAGCAGCAGCCCCCACCATCATCATATTCCTCATGTTTTTATCAAAACTGGTTAACCAGGTACCAAATAGCTGAGTTTTATTCAGAATTGGTTTAATGTTTAAAGCACATATCACAATGTTCCATATTATTCTTGCAGTAGGGCAATCGAAGAAAAAGTGTTGAATGGATTCTTCCCTAGAGCAAAATTGGCACAACTTATCTCCTTTTCTCCAACCTCTCTTGTACAGGTTATCTTTGGTAAGAATTTTGTTTTTAAGAAACAACCAGAGAAAGACTCTAGTCTTCAGAGGTATCTTAACCTTACAAATCTTTTTATAAGGGAAGACAAACTGCTTCATTTTGAGTGTTAAGTAAAAAGATCTCACTGAATAAGAGCTATCTTTTGTTAGGTTCCGGTTCCCATTGGAATCGGGACAAATGTGATTTTTCAATTACCCACAAGAGATCAGTTCTCCAGTATTGATTTTTAAGCAAAGATCATAAATAAAGAATTAAATTTCAAATATAGTGTTCATTTAACTTTTTTCATAAATATTCAGGATATAATTTATTTAGGAGGAATATAACGTCGTTCTCGCGTAACGGGGCGCTGCAGGGTGTGGCGCGGCAAAGTCGCGAGACCGCGCGGCCAACCAGCGATACCGCAGCAATACGCCAATCATTACTAATGATCCTGATTAGCAATTAAGTAGTGATTAGTTAATCTAATTAGTGATTAATTAATTTGCTAATTGATAATTAATCACTAATACTGCTCTTTCGGTCTCGCATGTTGGTTGTGCGAGACCGTTCGGTCTAGCATCTTCCACACCATCCGTTTCGTCACCCATACGTCGTTTTCGTGTATAGATTGTACGAGATCGACGGAATAGTTTTGCTAAAAAGTTGCGTCCTGAATATGTGAAAAAAAATTGAATGAACAGTATATTTTTAAATTGAATTCCATAAATTCCATTATTCGAAGAAATAGAACATTTACGCCAGATATGGTTTCATTTTCACACCAAACCACCCCTAACCTACAAACGAACCACCATAACACTGACGGACGCAGACATCACAACAAACTCTAATTAAACTTGATGCCTATATATATAGGGATATGGATGCTGCAAGTGGAAAATAACCTCATTGGAGAGGCTAAAACGGAAGAGCACACTAGTGGTTTCACTTGTGTCACTTGCACTGACTAATTGTACGAGCTCGCCACGTACTGTCTCACCAGCTAGCATGGCGACATCGCCGTTGCCACGTTGGGCGGCGACGCCGAGCCCGTCGCGCCCGCTGTGGCGTTCATCCGGCGGCGGTGGCGCCATCGTCAGTAAACTCCTGCGTTCCCCATTCACCACCGTGCTCGAGGCTGTCCGCGGGCGTGCTGCCCCCGACGACACGCCGCCTCCTGTACAAGCTCCACCGGCGCCGGAGCACAACTGCGCCGGCGCGTTCGACGGTATCGCCGTCGTCGCTGGAGATGGGAGGGAGGAGCGGCTCGACGGGGGCGTGTTCCTGACGTGGGAGGACGTGTGGGTGACGGCGGTGGACAGCGGGGGGAAGGCCGCCACCATCCTCAACGGCGTCAGCGGCAGCGCGCGCCCCGGCGAGGTGTTGGCCATCATGGGCCCCTCCGGCTGCGGCAAGACTACGCTGCTCGACACCCTTGCCGGTAACACTTGTCGATCTCAGTTTCTCTCTATCCATATGCATCTCTCTATCGACCTGAGGTTTACACAATTTCACTCGTCTTGTGTGTGTGTCTACATATTTGACAATCCTTATAGCAATAAACTGTCGAATAATATATATTCTCCAACCACACTATTAGTACCATACATCAGTAAAACTACGTACCTCCCCGCAAAAAAAAAAAAAAACTACGTACCTGGGGTGCTCTTTCATTTGTTAAAGTTCTACAGATCACAACGTAATCTACAATACACTAGTCAGAATTTCATCCTATATATTCATAAAAGTTTTTAAAGAAATAACTATATTAAAGTGCTTCCAATGACAAATGTATTGATATATATCATTTTCACAGATCAATTTAATTGTAGTATTTTTCTTCTATTATTAATTTAACGTTTGGAGGTTTAACTATATGCATAGGACGTTATCTTTTTGAGAATAGATTTTTGCTAATGTGAGGTCGTTTATACCTTTAAACACCGGAATATACAATACTTTTCAACATTTCTGTGGATAGTGGGACATTGTCACTGACATTTGAGCCTCACTACCCTTGGGCTCATATGTCAGTGACCAAGTATAGAGAGGGAAAAAAAAACGAGCACAACGTAACCAAGGAAGAAATATGTTGTAGAAAAAATAGCAAAATCAATTTGAGAAGGTGACAAATGTGTATATCCCTGTCCACTGACCTTTCTGTAAAATTCAGTCAGAACATGACGCGATTTGGGTCCAACCGTAACGAGTCTTCCACGTTTGAAATATTTTTTTTTTGAAAGGAATCAGCACGAGACTGTGCTATTTCATTAGATATAGGCGTAAAAAAATACAACCCCTAGAGGCAAAAAAAAAAAAGAGCTGTACAAATTACATAAGCGCTATGATTAAGCTGGTAAGAATTCTCCAAGTCGCCTTGTGCCTGCCATTATCCAGGTTCTTGCCTCTTCCTTTATTTTTGCCATAAGGTTGGGGGCCGCCGTTTTCTTGTGCTCGAAGATCCTTTGGTTTCTTTCTTTCCAGATTTCCCAGGCTATGAGTAGGATTAAGGATCGCAGCCCTTTCTTGGGCACTTTCCTTTTATTGGCTAACATTTCCCACTATTCGTGTACGCTTTGGCATGGCTCCCAATTGCTCGGATCCAATTGCTGATAAGCCACCCAGTTGGCCGTCAGTCTCCAGATCCTTCTGGTGTATCTACAGGAAGCTAAAAGGTGGCATGCCGTCTCGTTCGTCATACGGCATAGGAGGCACACTCCGCTATTTGGCCATCCTCTTGTAGCTAGTCGATCGGAAGTCCAGACTCTATTTTGAATCACAAGCTACGCATAAAGTTTGCATTTTGCAGGGGCCCAAGATTTCCAAATTAGGGGATTGAAGTTGGTGCCGACTGTTCCTAGACACTGAGCCTTGTATGCCGAAGAGGCCGAGTATTCTCCATGATTCGAGAGCTTCCAGACGATGTGATCCGACTCATTTTGGTTTAGCATGATGTCCTGGGTTGCGCTCCATAGGGACACAAGCTGGCTGATCAGTTCCACTGTAAAAGTAGTGTTCCCATTTAGCTCCAATTTAGCTCCAGGTCATCGATCCAGGTGTCATTTTCAATGCCTTCACGTAGCGATTTGCTTCTTTTCTTGGAAATTGCATAGACGAGCGGCATGCTGTCCTTTGGTCTTTGCCCATCCAGCTAGGCGGACTCCCAAAAGCGGATCGTGTTTCCATCCCCTATTGTTATTTTGGTAGCTGCGGCGAAGAGAAGTTTGTCCGTTTCATCACACGGTGTCTCTAGTCCCACCCACGGCTTGGTGGGGTGTTTCCATTCATGCCAGAGCCATCTCAGTCGCAAGGCCCTCGTAAACATCTCCATGTTCAGAACCCCTAGTCCTCCTAGTGTGGTTGGGAGGCACGTCCTTTTCCAGTTCACCTTGCATTTCCCTCCTGTAATTTTCCACGTTTGAAATATATGCACGGTGCTCCTGTTTGTAGTTTGGTTGCGGTCACCCGCGATTTGTGAAGAAGAAGACGAAGAATAAAAAGAAAAAGAAGCCGTCCATTACTTAATTTGTTGCATATTAAAGAATTCTCCGAATTTGGCACCATCGTCCTCAAATAAAAAAAAAGAACACATTAATTGGATTTTTATAAGAATGGAACTCTACCAGAGGAAACTAAAAAGAATATAAAAAATTTAAAGAATCCTGCAAATCTTTTTTATCACGGTAACCATGCATAATTACTGTCGATAATTCCCCTGATGAAAATTAACGGCGTTCAGGAATTGACACTTTTATTTTCGAAACGACCTGCACGATATAATGCGAATTTTCACATTGATATAGAAGAAAAAAAAAAACTCCCTCCGTTCCAAAATATTAAAACTGTTAGCCCTAAAGATTTGTACTAAAATATAACAACTTCTCTATCAATATTCTCTTCCCAACCAATCATAATCCTTCACCATTCACTTTTTCTACCTAACTCTACTACTCAACCAATCACAACCCTCCACCATTCATTTCTACCTACGAATACTTATAATCTAGAATGGAGGGAGCACAAAATTATAACACTGAAGGGTGTAACTAGGAAAAACCAAAAACAAACACACCACCACTGCTTGCTAGCGGCTCCTAACACAACCTCGAAGATGGCACAGTACCAAACCGACTACCGCTAAGCGTGACCAATCGTTACGGGACAAGAAAGGGGATCACAATGCACCACCGAGAACCAACTCCAAACAAAAGATTAATGATGTAGTGGGGTTGAGCAGGGAGAGGGTGAGACAAGAAGATCCGCTCATCCCCCACGCCAAGCTTGTGACAACAACCAATAGACCACCCAAGACCAAGCTGAGGGGAGGCCGTAAAGGTGGGGAAATGTAGACCTCCAAGACGCCTTTGGCACCAACGTCGCCCCTCCAAAAGGACTGAGCATGGTTATAAGAACCGGGACCGGACTGGCAGTTCGACCAGAAAAAACCAGAACTAAGGCTGCGTCGGCTCCGCAAACGGACCGGCGAAAACCCATCAAACCGGGTGGTTTTTTGCCGAACTAGAGGTGGTTCGACTGCTGAGGGCTGCTGCAATGAGGGATTGAACCCAAGACCTCCTTGTTCCCATGGAAAGACTCATCCACCACGGCATGTCGCCTATTGTGGTAGTATTGTAGCACACATTTATTTAAACCATTTTAAACTGGTGGTTTGACCGGTCCAACCAACAAACCAGTTAACTGAGTGCCCTAATGGTTCATTACCGGCCCGGTCTTAATAAATATGGTCAGGAGGGGAGAGGAAGGCAGCCCGACAACTCCACAAAGAGGGATCACGAAACCCAAACACGTCATCCTCAGATAACTCCAAGCTAGGCTTTCACCTGCTACATCCTCTCCCGCACCTGTCATCGCCACCCAGAGCTCCACCAACCAACGACCTCCGCTAGCCTACAACTCTATCGTATCGGCACCACAGTGATGGTCAGCCCAGACCAGCCAGCACCACCTCCCACCGCCTAGCATGACGCGATCTCCCACGAGGCCGCGCAGATAGAGCACCCTCTTCCCCAATCACCACCGTCATCGTCTTGCCAAAAGAGCTCCCTTCGATCGGAAGGGGCTAGCCATAGCAGGCGAGGAGCTTCATGGAGAGAAAATAAAGGTCTGATTGGCTAGAAGGACAGACCTGCCACCAGCTGCAGCGCTTGCTATCGCCCGCATCGCCTCGGTCGCACCTGACTCAACCGGTGGTCTCGGTCGCGCAGCCAACTCTACCGTTCAACCCACTTGTGCCCACTGCTCCCACCAAGGATATGCCAAATCCAGTCATTGGGAAACTGGATCCAGCCAAGACGGTGTCGGATCAGCAGCAACCAAATGCACCGCAACCGCCTTCTCAGCCTGCTGCACGGCATGCCTATGGTGGCTAGGTTTTCGCCCCCGACCCACCCACGAGGGGACGGCGTGAGGGAAGAAATTGTGTAAAATTTAATTTTTTTTTTCTGGAATTGGTACTGTTGGAGCGAGATAGAAAGATATTTGCACATTCCTGTTGCGAATCTTTGGGCCGGTAGGAAATTAAAGAGAATGGCTTTTCTTCGAAGAACACGTCGATATCGTGTACACAGATACACAGCACGTAACTTACGTGTTGAACGTATTGATTACCAAGTTGATGTGGTGGAAGTGGAAAATGATTGCACGATCGATGCTGATCGCTGCTCGGCCATACTGAATCGTACCCGTTAACTATTTCACATTGAGGCAGTTGGAGGGTGAATTAATTTTCTGATGCTGACTGAAGTTAAGTCAGCCAACCCGCTGTTATTAGCAAACTTATCCAGCCCGCCATTAATTTTCTTTTTTTTTTAGAATTACACAGTACAACGCAGACACTCATAACTCACGCGCACTCACCCCTATGAACACACGCACGTAAACCCTATCTCTATGAGCATCTTCGAAGACTGGGCTAGCAAATTCTTGAGAGATTGACGAAGTCACCACAGGCGCCTCGCTGTCGACGGGTACGTCGCCTACCACTGAAAGCACAGCGCCGATAAATCCTGGATAATTCGCTCCCATGGGGAGTCGAACCCAGGACCTCAGGTGCTACTGAGGTGGTTGCAGACTTAATCTTCTTTATGTATATACTCGTTCCATTTCGGGGTTATAAGATGTTGTGACTTTGGTTAAAGTCAAACTGTCTTATGTTTGACCAAGTTTTTTAAAAAATAGTAACATTTTCAATCTAAGAAAAATTTATTATGAAAATATAGTCAATTATTGATTTGATGAAACTAATTTAGTATTATATTACTATATTTATCTAACAGTTTAACTTTGACCAAAATCAAAACGTATTGTAACCTGAAACGGAGAGATTATATGTATAACACCCATATGGGCACCATGGTCTCCGGGCACCAAGGTATGAAATAAAAAAATTCACTCAAAATTTTAAAATTTTGAATTTTAAATAAATAAATAAATATATGTATGCATTTATCTATGTATATATTTATCGATAAATATGCATTTATTTATATGTATTTATTTATCGATCGATGGTGGTACATGTTTGGAGAATACCCATCTCAAACTTCTTCTGCGTGAAAATTATTAATACAGAAAATATGAACTATAAAGGGAGGGAGAAAAAGAAAGAAAGTGATAAGAATGGCAGTTTTAACGATTTGAAACACATGATTTTCTTTTATCAGAGTATAATCATCTGATATCTTCTTCTGAAGATTTAATTACAATAAATAAATAGAATAGTATGATCGGATCATATATTAGATAAATAGTTTAAAATAAAATATAATTAAAGTGAAGAGAAGAGAATGAGAAGAAACTAGCCATATACGGTCTGTGGTAATGTCAGGGTGCCCAATTTTTCTTCTCTTAATTGGGCATCAGAGAATAAGTATTTTCCCAAAAAAGATGGTAGTGGTTGTTGGAGTTCTAAATTAGAAAGATCTTAACTTTAGCCTATAAATCAATCACTCTCAAATTACAAATTAATTTCTGACCTGTCGGATTTGAAGACATTGATAATTCCTGTCTTTGCTTTTCTTTCTCTTCTTCTTCTCTCTGTTTCTCTTCTCTTTACCTCACTAGATCACGTCGGCCTTTAGGTCTCCACCGGCACTGCCCTGAGATAGCCGAACGAACCCCTTCTAGTGCTTAAGCCGATCGGGGGCGAATTAGGGTTTTAGATTAGATAGGGCAAGAATTGAGTGTCCTCTCCTCCTACAATTTGTTCTCTTTTATAGCATTGGTGAGGCCGGGAGCTTATCTTGAATTTAGGAATCAAAAATTCTTTTAACCGATCACAAAACAACCTTATCTCTTATCTTCTTATTTGGTTCGGATTGTGTGCTCATCCGAAAAATCAACCAATAGTGGCGTCTACGAGTAACAAAAATTCATTTGGTGGCATAAAAGGAAAATATATTTTCTTTTATACATAGAAACTCAATATCTTTTAAATGGCATATAAGGTATTCCCTCTAAAATAGGGACACCTTATCCGTTAGTACAAGCAACTAAGATTGGCTTGTGGTTGCTTTTAATTTTGCTTTATAGATCTTGATATTGTACTTATACCATGTTTATCAGGGTCCTGCTAATGCGCGGATGATCGCTGGGAGTGAGCGATCACCCACACTCCCCTCCGCCTATGCCGATTCCTCCCTCTTCTCCCCTTTCTCCTCCCCATCTTATCTTCCTACTACAGTACACCACAAAATTTTTTTAAAAAAACAAAAGTTAGAAAAAATTATGGATAGAAATGCTATATATAAAAAAATTGAATTTAAATTCAAATTCAAATTTGAATTCAAATTCAAATTCAAATTTGAATCGGGTATGTAAACTTTTGACTTATAAACTTTGGATCTATAAACTTTAGGTGTATAAACTTTAGATCCATAGAAATACTATATATAGAAAATATTTGAATTCAAATTCAAATTTGAATCAGATATAATTCAAATTCAAATTTGAAACGGGTCTATAAACTTTAGGTCTATAAATTTTAGATGTATAGAAATACTATATATAAAAAGTTTTTGAATTCAAATTCAAATTTGAATCGGATATATAAACTTTTGACTTATAAACTTTTGCTCTCTAAACTTTAGATGTATAAACCCTAGGTGTATAAACTTTAGGTGCATAAATTTACTAAAATAGGAAAGTAATGCGGTGCCAAAAAAGAAAACCAGGTAGAGCGAGGGAGGGGGGAATGGGGCGATCGCTAGCCAATAGCTAGGGCGATTGATCGCCCATTAGAGTTTCCGTGCTTATCATGACTTCCTAATGTATCTTTTTTATGTGTGAAAACTGAAAAAAAAAAGAAATTCCTCTCTCCTCTTACTTTATTTTATTTGTGATTTGGCTCTCCATTTATGTATGGAAGCAAATTAGAAATTCCTCTATCCTCTATATATAGCTATTTTGATCCCCCAATTATATTGTTTATCTATCTCGTATCATCAACTTTATATTACGAGGCATGCATTAAGCTCCAACAATGGTGATGTCCATAATGTTAGCATGCCACCAATGGCATGCAATAAGTTCCCAACAACACTGATGTCTATAGTGTTAAATAGCATGCCACCTATTGTAAAAGATAATGTGGCATCAGATTAAATGAATGAAACGATGAAACTAGATCTTGAATTGAGACCCAGTTTCTATATAATATTAAGGGTATTGATCAAATATTTGATGTTAAATTAGCACAGTAAATTGGTGATATGTGTGCAATAGAATAGTGCTATATATAGTTTCTAGATGATGTGGGGCATATAGACACTATATATTAACAGTGTCTTACAGCACTGGGACGGTCGTCCTTATGGGAGTCTTAGTGCTTCTTCGTCTCAGTTATAGAGTTCCTTCTTTTTTTCTCACGGTTATATTAAATTGTGTCTTTCGAGCTGAGTTTCTGTTGTAATACGCCGTATTTCAGTTCATAACATCTTATCGATCTGTACTCTATTGATATACACAGGAAGATTGGATTCAAACTTGAAGATGAAAGGGCAAATTCTGGTTAACGGTCGATGTCAGCAACTTGCATTTGGAACCTCGGTGAGTTCAAGTGAGAAAACTATTGGAGCATCTAATTAATACAGCCCATTTTGATTAGTATTATTGAAGAGTCTGTCACCTCCTGATGGAAAACGTACGAATTACCCCCCGAACTATCGCGGTCGTCCGAATTATCCCCCCGAACAACAAAACCGGACATTCTTCACTCCCAACTATACAAACCGGACGAATTACCGCCCTCGACCCAATCCGCGGTGGTTTTGGTCTACGTGGCGTACACGTGGCAGTCCAGTCAGCATTTTATTTTTTTAATGGTGGGACCCACATGTCAGACACCACTTTCTTTCTTCCTCTCTTTCTTTCTCTCTCTTTGTTGGTCAGCAGCGGTGCGCACGCCGGTGGCTGGCACACATGGCGCGGCGCGGGGGCGGGCTGGCGGACGGCGCGCGGGAGGTGGACGGGATGGGGGAGAGGCGGGCGCCGGCGGCCATGGCAGAGAGGCGAGCCATGGCCGGAAGCGTCGGGAGGAGGACGGGGGACGGCGGACGGAGGCGCACGTCGGGAGCTGGAGCGGCGTCAGGAGGAGGACGGGGAGGAGGAACAAGAGAGGCTGAAGAGAGAGGCAGTGGTGGCGGAGGAGGAGGCCGTTCCCGCGACCGCCGCTCACCATTTCCTCCGCGCCCACCTTCTATCCCGGCGGCCTCCCGCCTCAGCGTCGCGCCCGTCGCAACCTACCGGTTGCCCGCCGCGCGGAGGGGCGGGCGGCGGACGGTGACGCCCGGGGGCGCACAGTGGACGACGGCGCGTGGGAGCAGGCGGTGGGCGCCTGATGGCGATGCACGGGGGCAGGCGATGGACGGTGGCCCTGTCGCACTCATTGGGGTGGGGCGAGGCTGCGGCGGCGGCGACAACTGCGGTGGAAGCGGCGCTCAAGGTCCTGCAGGCGTACGAGCTGCGGTACAACGCCACGGTGGCCGGGGTCATCAACTACGCGTCGACGGCGGGGCAGCAACTGCTGTGGACAGCGGCGCGTGGGGAAGGGGGCGTCCACCGCACTGCCGATGTGTCGGAGCTCCACATCTCGCCGCGGACGCCGTCGCCGCCGCTGCCGCTGCCACCGGAGCCGGCCGAGCTCGTCGACCCGCCGCCGCCGCCCACCACCGGCCCCCGCACGGCGCCATGCGCGCCGACCGCCCTGAGCCCGACGACCCGAGAGAGAGGGGGAGAGAGAGACATGAGATAGATAGAGTATATATATGATAGGTGGGCCCCACAATAAAACGCTGACTGGATTGCCACGTGTACGCCACGTAGACCAAAACCACTGCGGATTGGGTCGTGGGGGGTAATTCGTCCGGTTTGCATAGTTAGGGGTGAAGAATGTCCGGTTTTGTGGTTCAGGGGGGTAATTCGGACGACCGCGATAGTTCGGGGGGGAGAGATAATTCGTACTTTTTCCCCTTCTAATCCCCCCATAGTCGAGAAGAAGCGAACATGTTCACTACGATAAAAATAAATTAACATATGATTCTAGCCAAATCTTTTAGCCGTGTATAGATGATGATTGCAATTTTGTCTACAATAAAAATGTTGTGAAATTTCACATGGTAAAAAATTACACTATTAATAACAGGGATATATATTTAGCTAGTGTAATAGTATAATCAATCCAATATGCTACCGAACTTCTTTAGACTTAGGGGGATTTACAATCATGACACTGCAAACATTAACTGCAAACATTAACGTAGCTCAAATATTAAGGATAGAGCCAGCGAGAGAGAACGAGAAAAACTGGTGTCTGATCTAAAAACATGAATGTATTGTGAATGCATGAATCAATCAGGCGTACGTGACACAAGAGAACGTGCTAATGGCGACACTAACAGTGCGCGAGGCCATCTACTACTCGGCACAGATCCAGCTGCCAGACACCATGACTATGGCAGAGAAGTTGCGGCGCGCCGATGAAACGGTGAGGGAGATGGGACTCACCGGCACGCTGGACACTCGGATCGGCGGGCGGTCAAGCAAGGGCATCAGCGGTGGGCAACAAAAGCGGTTGAGCATCTGCCTTGACATCCTTACACGTCCCCGGCTGCTGTTCCTCGACGAACCCACCAGCGGCCTCGACAGCGCCGCCTCCTTCCATGTCATGAGTCGCATCATAGGCCTCGCTGCCAGGGAGGGCATGACAGTCGTCGCTGTCGTGCACCAGCCATGCAGCGAGGTGTTCGAGCTCTTCCATGTCCTTTGCCTGCTCGCCGCTGGGAACACCATCTTCTTTGGCCCAGCTTCAATGGCTGCCGAGGTTAGTCGATCTAGTGTAGAATCATTCTGTGTATATAGTCGTTTAATTAGTTAAATGTTATCGCTGTTTTCAGCTTGCAATAGTTGGTTTAATTTGCAGTTCTTTGCTTCAAATGGCTACCCTTGCCCTCCAATGAGGAATCCATCAGATCATTTTTTGAGGACTGTGAACAAAGATTTTGACAAGGTTAGATATATAGTTGGTCCAAGACTCCAATTCAAGCACTATTAATGAAATATCATGTTCTTTTGGATAATGAGTAATTATTTACAAATCTGTCCTCTGCAAACAGTATCTGCACAATGTCACAGCAGCCCAGCAACAAAAGAGAAAAGAACAAAAATAAAATAAAAAAGATGCTATGAAAGTACGGGAATATATCCTATGCGCACAAAATTTTCATGCATACTCCGTGTACATCATCTAGCAAATATCACAGAAAATTCCATAAAAGCATGGACACATACTTCCAATAATATTACACTTATGTGTAAAATCTTATCTTCAAATTTGCATATATGTATAATATTGTTGGGATACATGTCTAATTTTTCTATAATTTTTTCACATTTGCTCGTTGATGCGTACACCATCAAATGTCCGGCAACAAAACTGGGTGACACCAATTTGCTTGCTTTTGACCTGTTACCTTTCAATTTGCTAACACACAGGAGAGTGAAGACAGACTCCGGTGCATGCCAGCTGTTGCAGATGAAGCAATAGACATTTTGGTGAATTCATACAAATCCTCCAACACTTCGGAAGTCGCAAAACAGGACATGCGTCACATAAACGAGATGGTTTCTGCTCTAAACTTGTGTACATATTATATTTATATGTACAACATACTTATTCACAATTATACATGTTTGGGATATATGTCACAAGTTATGTTCATATTCTTTTAGGATCGGGTGACGATTGGAAGAAACCGAGCTGGTTTTATTACCAAGACACTTGTCCTTACCAGACGTTCATTTGTTAACATGTATAGAGATATTGGATACTATTGGTTGCGGATGGCCATTTATATTTCCATAAGTGCTTGCCTTGGCACCATATTTTACAATATGGGCTATGGATCCGATTCAATTCGAGTAAGTGAAGATAAAATGTTGGCTGTTTTCACACAAATGGCTGATAGAGTATGCATGTACCAAACATATTTATTAATTAATTTTAATTGATTCTTCATTTCAGGCTAGGTCATCAATGTTAATGTTTATTAGCACCATGCTAACCTTAATGGCAATTGGAGGGTTCCCATCCTTCGTGGAGGATATGAAGGTATTTATGAATTGATATGTCATTAGCAGAAAGAGCAAACATGTTTACTCTATATAATTTGTTAAAATCGACTGAACACACATATAGACCAACGGGCATAAATAGTAAAATTAAGTCAGTGAACTTGGATACGATGTCTGGAATTGATTATTCAAATTCATACTACTGTACCAAAAGATTCAACAAAGTTATCAACACGAATAAAAATTTTCCATCAAGGACATGGGATAGTGCTATTTAATTAAGAGAGAGTAATGGAAATAAATTCATTTTCAATTTAGGATATTAAGAAATCATGTGAAGCATCGCATAGAAAAGCCTTAAATAATCTCTCTTATGCATCCTAATAAAATTCACAAATACTTGCAATGTCTTTTGACTCTGGATAAAAATATTTCAAACCCACAGCTTTCATTTAGTGAATTGAGTTATACTCAATTACCATTACTAATATTTAAATAGCCATGTAACACTCCGTCCGCACTTACAACATATTGTAAACAATCAATATCAGCTTACAATATAGTAAATCAGATTCTAGAATTAGTAAATCATGAAAATAATATTATTGAGATCCAATGGAGCACAGCTTAATATTCATTAATTTCGAATTTCAAGACAATCAGATTGTGAAAAATAAACTAACTGAGACTACATACCAACTACAACTCAGTATTTATTAATTTGTTATTAATATTTGTCAATTCGTAAATTTTAGATTGTTAAATAAAAACTACTACAACGCATAACTCCAACTGAGTACACCTACCTATATTATAAACTCCGAACTTAACAAATCGAAACACTATTTGTTGGACATTCTCTGGCCATAGGTTTGATAGATGCACACATGATTAATGTGGGAATTTTTACCTTTTCTAGCTTGTAGGATTAATGCAGGGCTTCTTGTGAAGCCTCTACTTATTATATATATAAAAAAACCCCCAACTTATTTACTAAAAATTCCAGAGTGAAAATTTAATAATTTTATTAAAATAATTTAAATACTTCGCATCTGTACAATAGGTTACATTTCATGTAGATAAAAAAAATCGAAATATGCAAGGTTGATTTATCAAATGAATTTGCATTTGTGCATCACATTTTTCTTAATATGTGGTCTTATATATCTACCTTTCTCTTCCTGTTGCTCAGATCTTTAGCAGGGAAAGGCTAAATGGACATTATGGTGTAACCACATTTGTCATCTCCAATACATTGTCATCCACACCATATCTTCTTCTTATTGCCATAATACCTGGTGCAATTGCGTATTATCTTAGTGGCTTACAAAGGCAAATTGAACATTTTGTCTATTTTACGTTAGTACTTTGTTCATGCACAATGCTAGTGGAAGGCCTGATGATGATCGTAGCAACCATCGTACCAGATTTCCTAATGGGGATCATAACAGGTGCTGGTATACAAGGTATTATGATGCTCACAAGTGGATTCTTCCAACTTCCTAATAGCCTTCCAAACATAGTATGGAAGTACCCAATGTACTACATCTCCTTTCACAAGTATGCACTGCAGGGGTTTTACAAGAATGAGTTCTTAGGTTTAGTACTCAACCTTGAAGGACCCATAACAGTTAGTGGCGAGAAAGTTATTGCTGAGTTATTTCAAGTGGAAACAGGTCATTCAAAATGGGTAGATCTTGCAGTACTTTGTGGTATGATTATGACCTATAGACTATTGTTTGTAGTGATTATCAAGGTTCTTGATATAGTCAAGCCCATACTTAAGGGGATGACATTTAGGTGCAACACTAAATGCATTCATGGCATAGAGAACCTTTGCGCCCCCTCGTGATTCTTGTTGGAAAATAGTATATCTAATATTGTAATATTGCTTGGTGCACTTATATACAGCGAGAAAAAAATGTAGTATTGTATTTATATTACTCAATATAAGTATGTGACTATATTGTGAACAGATTCACTACTGGAGAAACGCTTTTTAGTCCCGGTTAGGAACCCCCTATAGTACCGGTTTTCTAACCGGGACTACGAATCCGGGACTAAAAGATGTCCAGTTTTAGTCCCGGTTGAAATAAAGAGACTAAATCTTTAGTCCCAATTGGTGCTACCAACCAGTACTAAAGTTAATTTTTTCTTTTTTTTCTTTTCTGGCGCCAAATATCTCCAAATCATTAGAAAATAATAAATCACAAATCATAGATTGGGTTCGCACATCACAGATTGTTCACACATCTCAACATCCCAAATCATCCACATCAACAACTCAATATCTCAACATCCCAAATCATCCACAACAACAAATCACAGATCATTCACACATCATTCTCAAATCACAGATCAAATCAACAAACAATCATTCACATAACGAGAAGGAAAAAAGAAAAAAAAATCCATGAAGCCTGCCACCACACGGCCTTCCGCGCCGGGCCGCCGTCGCTCTGCCACCGCCTGACCGCCGCCTCCCCAGCCCAGCATGGGCCCGACCGCTGCCGCCCCTCCCCGGCACAGGCCCGGCCGCCACCGCCCCCACCCAGCACGGGCCCGGCCGCCGCCGTCTGCTTCTCCCGCAGATCTGAGGAAGAGAAGAGAGGAAAACTTAAGAAGTGTGGAAGTGGAAGGGGAGAGGAAGAGATGAGAGTGAAAGAGGAAGATGAGGAAGAGATAAGGGAGAGATAAAGAGTGGAGGGGAGGAAGAGATAAGGGTGAGGACTCTCAGATGCGCGCGGAGAGAACGATGGAAGAGAGAGAGAGAGAGAGAGAGAGCGCGAGACGTGGGAAACTGATTTGTAGTCCCGGTTGTTTATAACAACCGGGACTAAAAATCTGATTATTAGTCCCGGTTGTTTATACCAACTGGGATTAAAAATAGTGGGGGACCTGCCACGTCGTGACAATGAATAAACCGGTACAAAAGATGATCTTTCGTCCCGTTACCAACCGGGATTAAAGATCATTGCACTTTTAAACCGGGACTAAAAATGCTTTTTAGTCCTGGTTTTTTAAGCAATCGGGACTAATGTTGTTTTTGGGCAACCGACCAAAGATGGTTTTTCTAGTAGTGATTCCTTGCACATAATGATGCTATATCAAAAATATTTTTGATTCTACATGATATATGTGGAGAAAAATATATTTATTATCTTGCCACCATTTTGTTGCAACGTGTGCACCGAGCCTCTGGTAATCTAGATCTGGTTCTAATAGTCGAAGCAGCACCTTGATCATGAATCACAAATAAAGTAACTTCTGATTTTGGCGGTGATAGGATCTAATTCAGCTAGCAAGCCAATTAAGATTGATTGCTTAGATCACCTTCTGAAAACTAAAAAATAGAACCTTGACAGCCGAAATTCCATTTTTTAGTCCCTACAACAACAAAGACACGGCAACGACGGTGACAATGGTACTAACCTCACCAGAACTTAAAACTCTAAACATACTAATGCTAAGACCAGCAACATGACACAACGGTACAACGCAAAAATCAACAAAGCAAAAATTAAAAAGAACAACGCAACAACGCAAAGATGGTTAGGTAATGGATGAAACCTTTTTTTTGAATGGCTATTTTCTGGTTATAGGAAGATAAAAACACACCGAGCAACTAAAACTCTGATACCACTTGATATTACCCTGAGCTCGAATGTATGTGCTCAAAGCTCTGATTGACTAGATCTTTCGGCGAGTTAAGATAACTACAATTTGGGAGAGAAGTTGTCGACTGTCACGCCCAGAAATTCCCGAATAGAATTCCAAGCAGAATGTGCATTAAACCCCTGTCTAGGACCGGCTAGGGTACACAAATGACAAAGTTGACATGCAGATTCACGTCTTACAAACATATAAAAGTCTTACATAAATGCAGCACAAAATAAAAGCGAGCTTATTCTAGAGCTTGACATGAACAGCGGGCGACACCATTCCACAAGCATCCTTGACGGCACGGATGAAGCCTACTCCTTCGAGTAACATAACCTCCATCTGAAGCATACTCCAACTCTGGGGTGGGAGACAGACCAAGACTGAGTACTACCCACTATACTCAGCAAGTCATACCGGAAGAGAGGTATGATGTAGTGTATATATACCAAGGGAGCTGAGGGTTTATTTGCATAATTCTAGCATTTAAAAGTAGGTGTTGAAAGCAGTAAAATCGTTTTAATGAATTAAGCAATATTAATCATCACTGCGCAACACTACACCACGTTGCAACAGGCCCAACCAACCACTTGAACTACACAAGTTCCATTAGGTCAAATTATTATAGATGAGACTAATCACGGTGAATTTGATTGGCCACCCATAACACCCGATGAGACTACTGAAACATGAAACAAAGCTATTTTTAATGGTTTCTTTGCATTTTCCTAGATTTACTGAGACTTCAATGGGCTTAAACGGAGCTCGGATGAATTTTCTATGAATTTTAGAATATTCTCTCTATTTTATTACTATTAACAGATACTCCTTAATGATTTATTGCGCAATAAAGAACCCTGCTGATGTCATCAGGAGGGAAGCGGAGCCGGCCGGCGGGCCCCACCTGTCGGTGCACAAGGGCGCCGGTCCGCAGTGGACCGAGTCCAAGGACTGGGGTGCGGCGCACCACATGGCACACACATGTGGCATTGACGTGGCAGCCACGTGGGCGGCAGCCGAACGGCCCCAATCTACCGAGCGGTAGATCGGACGGCTGCAGCGGCACGGGCACAGCTCGATCCTGGGCCGGCCAGCCGTGGCGGGCAGCGGCGCACGATGCGGTAGTGGTGGCGCTAGGAGGGAGAGGGGGAAGAACCGAGGGTTCTCACCGAGGGGTTCGGCCGACGCGGAGGGAGACGACAGTAGACGGCGACGGCAAGATGAGTGGGTGGACGACGTCCGGAGCGGTCTAAGGGAGCTAATGAGAGGACTTAGAGGAAGAGAAGAGGTGCGAGGCGAGCGGAAATGCCGTCCGAAGGCAGCGGAAATGGAGGGGCTCACTGGTGTGCTGTGAAAGGTTGTTCCCGGTGGCGGTTGACGACGGACAATTTGCAGACGAGGTGGCCCTCGCGCTTTCGAACCCGCGGCAGCGATGACATGGCTCGGCTCGGCGCGGCGGCTAGTGGCAGCCGGAGCGGTGGCGACGGCGGCGGAGATGGGGGCGACGGCATTAGAGTGGTGGGTGCATGGGAGCGGGGGTGACATTTATAGGGGCGAGGAGGTCGGGCGTGGCCAGGAACGGCCCCGATTTTGCCGGCGTAGTGGGGGAGGTGGAGAGAGAGAGAGAGAGGTGGGATTCGAAAATTGAATCCTGGCCATCTCGCGGGCATGGGTGCGTGGGGGAGTTGCGCATGGGGTGCGGGAGGTGGGCGACATGCGCGGGGAGGTGGGGGATGTGGCGCGGAGGCAGGGGTGAGCCTGTCGGTGCCCCAAGAGAGAGAGAGTGATGAAGGGCGGACTTCGGGAGGGGGCGCAGGCAGCAAGGAGGATTGGGGCCTGCGGCCCAAGAAAGAGGAAAAAGGGAGGGGAAAGGAAAAAGGAAAAGGAAAAAGGATTTCTAGGGATTTCTTTAATAACATAGACTGATTTTAATTGGTTTAAATTATCTCCAGGGCTCTGAAAAATTCCGCTAAAAATCCTATTAATGTATTTTGACATGGAGAATCCAACAAAAATCCCACCATGTCGATTCCCATTATTAATCGCATTTATTAATTAATGATTAGCTCTAGGCTTGATGAAATTCAAAGCTAAAGGAAGGAGGACTTCAGGATGTGACAAACCTAGCCCCCTTAAACGGAATCTCGACCCCGAGATTCGGAAAAGCTGGCAAAGAGGTGCGGATGGGCGGCGTTTAACTCGTCTTCTCTTTCCTAGGTGACCTCTTCCTCATAATGGTGGCTCCACTGGACCCTGCAAACCTGGTGTCCTTGTTTCTGGTTCTTCTCACGCTGGTTTCAAGGATGCGGACTTGTTTCTCCACATATGTCAAATCCTCTTGAATCTCGATGTGCTTAGAACTAGCCTATTCCTTAGGTACGCTCAAACATTTCTTCAGTTGAGATACATGAAGCACATCGTGGATACTAGCCTTGCTAGATGGGAGCTCAAGCTAGTAAGCGACTTCACCTCTGCGTTCCAAAATCCTGTATGGTCCCACAAAGCGTGGTGCCAACTTGCCTTTGGGTTGGAAGTGGTGCACTCCCCGGAGTGGCGTAACTCGAAGGTACACATAGTCCCGGGCTTCAAAGATAAGCTATCTTCGGCTGTTGTTCGCGTAGCTCTTCTGCCGAGACCGTGAAATTCTTATCCTTTCCATGAAGGTTCTGACTTTTTTCCTCTACATCACTCAATAATTCGGTCCCAAACAATTGGCGTTCTCCTGTTTGGTCCCAAAATAGACGGCCATTTGTAAGCTGGCCTGATAACTATTGTTGTAGGAGAACTCGCTATAAGGTAGGCTTTTATTCCAAACTCCGCCAAAATCAAGAGTGCAAGCTCTCAACATATCCTCCAGTATCTGATTGACCCTCTCGGTCTAACCATCAGTCTGATTGACCCTCCACAAGGGTCCTGCTCAACGGCTCACCGCGCACACCCATCAAGCACGACAGGGGTCTTCATCAAGGGGACCCGCTATCCCCTCTCCTCTTTATCCTGGCCATTGACCCATTAGTTGCCGTGTTGGAAAAGGCCACCGACCTCGGCTATCTCACCCAACTAAATGGGAGAACACCACGCCTACGGATGTCACTTTATGCAGAGGACGCTGCAATGTTCGTCCGGCCGACAGTCAGAGACATGAGCCACTTAGCTCAAATCCTACACTCCTTCAGGGACGTAACCGGCCTTCAGACAAATATGAAAAAGAGCCAGATCACGCCCATCCGTTGTGTTGGCATCGACATACAAGAGATCTTACGAGTCTTCCCTGCAAACATCACTGGCTTCGCAATGAAATACCTGTGTCTCCCG